CTGTCCGCCTCGCGGCTGAGCCCTCTGTGGTCTGTCCGGGACCACACTCACAGTCGTGGTACCTGCCTTTCGTTCCTCGGGGGAAAGGTCCGGAACAGTGTGCAAGTGCCGAGAAACCTGAGGGTTCAGGAACCTGGGCTGAACAAGCGCTTTGCTCAGTTTTGCAAATGGAAATTCAGATTCTCAGTGACTTTCAGAAACCAGGAATTCAGAAACCTGGGGAAACTTCACCTAAAAGCTGGGACAATACATTAAACAATATTCAAACTCGGACAGTTCCCTCCCTGCTTGGGCTGTTTTCAATAGTCGTACAAAACCTGTGGGTGGGACTGAGAGATGGACTTGGCTGTTTCACTGCAGCGTGCAGCTTAATGTCAGCTTTTTCAAAATCATAATCAAAAAGAAGAAACTCATATGAAAGTGCAAACATTTTACTTTGAAAGGGACATTTCACCTTAATTTGCACAATTTGTGAAGAGCTGAGTGATCATGTCATCCTGGGAAGAATTTAGTTTCTATTTACAGATAATGTAAGTACAGGTAAAAAAAAGGCTGTACATTTTAGCTTTTGTATTTAAAAAATGCGATTTCCCTTTCACTCGATTTCAGATACGTACGCAGAGGTGGACTTGGGTGCACATGACACACACATCCTGCACACACATCACACACATCCTGCACACACATCCCCCATTAGAACGAGGCTTCAAAGTGCCACAGAAGTTTTAGAAAAAACAATAGTTTCCACCTTAGGAGCATTTTAGAGAAAAATTAAATATAAGGGAAAAAACCTTCTTATTAAATCAAATTGTGGTGTAACAGCTCACCACATCCTGTTGAGGGACATCTGACGTGAGGCAAAGCAAAGGTTCCGCTTTCAGGTCTCTGACGAGCAGTGAGGGTCACATGTTACCTACAGTTCAAAATACTTCTATAAAGAAAAAACCTTGGTGTAGGTGGAAAAGCTGAATAAGAAATGGAAACTATCAGCAGAGAGAAGACATTGTGGGAAAGCGTAGGTGTCGTCGACACAACCACATCAAAGAGAGAGCCACTCCCAAAATAGCCCATGTAGAGGCCGGGGGGCTGTGGACTCATGTGGACGTGGAACTGTGACCTCATGGAAGAGAAATAGGAAGTTGTGGCCAGGAGAGGAGTGGGGCCAGAGGGTCCCAGGCCTCGGTTCTCAGCCCAGCCATCAGAGAAAGCACTCGGCCTTCATCAGGCCTTCCATGATGTGCTTGTCGTCCGTGTGTAAAGCGGGAACCACTGGGGCTTTCCTGACTGGACTGTAACACAGGTTGCATCTACAGAAGAGAATGTGGCCCTACGGTTGTCCATCCTCAGTTGTGTAGACAGCTGTGGGGGGCATCGGCCACTCCGCAGTGGACAGTTGTCCATCTTGGCTTGCTGTCTCACACACTGAGTTTTATAGAGGACTTGGGGAAGATCCTAGAGGATGTTTGCACATCTGTGATATTTCTTGAGTAAGTTCCCAAGATGTCTGCGACATTGTGACCCCAACTTGATATTTCTGGACTTGGACAAGGCAGGATCTGATGACCCAGCACTTCCAACACATTGTTGGGAGGGAAGCAGGGACAGTTGCTCATCAGAAACCACCAGACCACGATGACAGACGAGGAATTTTGGTCACCCGATGGTTCCTTCCAGCGTCCTGATTCTTCGGACAGCCCTGGTGGGGTCAGAAAGGAGGGTCGGCACCAAAGTAGCCGTGTGGTGGGAACTGGGGCCCTGGATAGCTCAGGACATGCTGAGTGATTTCCCCACTCCCACCCACTGCGAGTGCTCCCGCCAGGTTCAGGTGCCCCTGTGGGCAGTAGGGGAAGCCCACTTCTGAAGTTTCTTCCCCTTTTATCTTGTCAAACAGATGTTATTTTCCTGTGGTCTGTGTAAACTTGAGGAACTAGAAGATTCTAGCTTCTTTGCTTACTGTCTCCCCTCTTTCTCTGCTATTATTTCACTCAGGGCTCCTCTCTCCGTCCCCATCGTTATTACCCCACAGGCTTCCTCCCGAAAACACGTCTTTACGACTCAGACTCCTGCTCAATTCCCAACATTGTCACCTTTCAGATCTCCTGCTCGGTCCCCATCGTTATTACTCCTCCGGACACCCTGTCAATACCTATCATTACATGCCCTTGGGCCTCCCTCCTGACCCCTGGGACTGTTACTCCTTGGTTTCCCATCACTGTCACGCCTCAGGCCAGCCTGCAGTTTCCCACGGTCATTACTCCTCTGGCTCCCTCCATTTTCACATCATTACTACCCCTCAGGACTCCCTGACTTTTGCCCTCATATTACGTCTCAAGCATCCCTCTCAGTCCCCATCCTTGTTACAACACAACCCCCTCAATTCCCACAATTAATAAATCTCAGACACCTATCCATTCCCCAAATTATAGCCCCTCAGGTGTCCATCCTCATCTTCATCATGACAACCCACCAGGAGTTCCTTTCAACCAGCATCCTATTCCAGCTCAGGCCACCACCTGTTCCACGTCATTATTCATTTCGGGACTCCTTTTCCATTCGCATCATTATTCCCCGTCAGGCTTTCATCAAAGTCCCCATTCTTACCACTCAGGCTACCTTCCATCATGAGAGCCTCTGGGAATCCTAGTCAATCGAATAATGATGATGCATCAGGCCTTCTTTCGGTTTTCCATTGTTATTTCACCTTACACACCCATTTTCCAATTTATTGTGGATCAGACCTCCCTTTCATTTCCATCATTAGTCCCATCCAACCTCCTCCTATTATCCATCATTATTTCACCTGAACCTTTCTCTTATTGTCCATCATTAGTAGCTTAAAACCTCTCTGTTTCTCCATCATTATTCATTCCCTTGAGGACTCTCTCCTCTTCTCCATCAATATTGCTCTTTATACCTTTTCACCCTCCCTACTACTGATCAGATTTGTGTTCTGGGGCTTGATCAGCCGTGATTATTAGATGAGAATTAAAACCCAGCTCTTGTCGTGGGGCCATGACTTTCTGTGGGATCCTTTTGACAACTGTCTTGCCCGTGAGGTGTCTGCTGCCTGGCGTGTGGCTCTGGGTTGAGACATCCCCGTGGCCTCCATTTCCACCTTCCCAGGGGCTGCTGCCTCCCCGTTGCAGGGTCGCTGACCGTGTGGTTGCCCTGTTGGCTCCACTCCTGCTGTGCCCATGGCCGATGGTTGGTTTATAGGAGTAAATCAGACGATGGCCATGAAAGCAAAAGTGGAGCACCCAGGGCTGCAGAAGCAGGCGTGGGGCGCTGTGTAGTGGCGGGTGCGGTCACTGGTCCCTGTCCCCTCGCCTTGGGCTCCCCTTTCTGCTCACAGGCTCTGTCTTCCTAAGTGGGTTCCACATGCTGGCTCAGGGTGAGACACCCTTGGTGCAGTTAGCCTTTTACTTTCCAAGATGTGACATTACAGAAACTCAGGATTTCTGATTTTTTCTTGTTAAAATGGTCTTTGATGTGGCCATGTTCTGCCAAATACAAATCATATGTGTGCCTCTTAAACACGTGAGAGTGTAAGCAGTGAAATAGGGAAGAAGGGCACCCTGCCCTTCTGTCCCCGGCACCCGTCTGTGTGTCAGGAAGCAGCGCACCAGAGACCTGGCACAGATGCCAGGAGAACGAGGGAGAAAGCCGGCCGTGGCTGGTGGTGATGGCACCGTACCTGGGACTGTCGGGGGGAAGCTGCCTGCGTGCCACCGAGGAGCCACCCCGTGCACACTCCCAAACAAGTGTTGCCCTGAGGTCTGAGCCCCGGCCGCCACTGGGCCCCACGGGCAGCTGTGAGCAGCCTCGGAGGAGGGAGAGTCCCCCCCAGGGCCTCCCAGCCACCCCTTCGCCACCTGGGGAGAAGGTGGCTGCAGGTCAGGTGGCTGTATGTCACTTGCGTGTCTCAGGCGGGGTCGAGGCGTGTCCTCCGCAGGCGGCAGGGGGCTCGGGCAGCGGGCAGACGCCGGGGCCCTGGGTCCAGGCCAGGCCGCACCTCTGGGAAGAGCCAGGGCTTGGGGATTGCAGCTCGGGTTCCTGACTGTGAACTGGTGCCAGTGAGTTCTGCTATCAGGTCCCATGACACAATTCCTGGTTCCCCCAACTGTGTTTTATTATTGTTATCCTTGCAAACAGTCGGGGGTGGATGTTGAAAGGGAATTTAGGGAAGGGGGTGGGGGTGATGAAATGCGCACAGACTAATTGCTCAGGAAGCCGCCCTGGGACAGGCCGGGGCCTTTGCAGAAACACATGGAGTTTATCTGGGCAGCAGAGGGAAGCCCGGCAGTTCCGTGACGTGAGCATGCGCTCCCCACCTCCAAGTTCTGTCAGGAAGGTGACCGTGGTGACACCTCCCTGGTGACATTTCCCCTATCTCGATGCCCATCGGGATGGAGGGAGGGGTATTGTGCAGCTCGCCCACGATGGCCTTTGCTCATTTCCTCCCTGGCTGCCAAAAACCACAGGCTGATAGCGCGTGGACAAGGAAACAGATGAAGGAAGAGCCCGACAGAGGGGCTCCGGCCGCCGGTGTCAGCCCTCTCTCTGGCCGGACGGCGAGGCCGAGGGCCAGTCACCACGCGGGGGCTCCCAGAGGTGCCTCCGTGTGTCTGCCAGCTGTGGGTTTTGTGAACCACAAACCGCCCGCCCAGCGGTGCTCCCCTGCCTGGAGAAGATGCGCCCAGGACCCCGGGGGAGCCCCCGACGCCCGGGGATGGCGGAGGCCGGCTCCCAGTCGCGTTTCTGGCCAGAACAGTGACTGTACGACCACCGGCGCCTTAGTCACAGCAGCCAGGTCCCGGGCAGCTGTGCTGCTGGCTCAGGACACCTCGAGGACGTGGTTTGAGGCGGGAAGGAAGCTGGTTCCTTTCACAGGCCGCACGTGGCGTCCTGAAAGCACGGCTGATGGAATTTCTGGCTGCTCACCTACAGTTTTATGCAGAACCGTGTTCCCTAATGCTTTCTCTATTTTTGTTTTCTTGCAGTAAATGAAATAATACGAAACGACCTCTCCAGCACCAACACCCACTCATAATTGGCAAGGTCAGAACTCGCTCAGGAGCTGCATGGCGTCAACTCAGCAAGTGACAGTGGACATTCAACATGCAGACTTCTGACTGAATAAACTGAACACACGTGGTACCACTCAGAACTCCTGACTTACCGAAGATTTTTTACACATACAAAGAAGTAGCTCTTCAACAGGAAGGAAGGATGGAAGGGAGGAAGGATGGAAGGACGGACCACTTCATCTTCTGAAGGAAAAGTCATCTCAAGAAGAAAATAAAAGGGTGCAGTAGGGTGAGTGCAGGAGACAGAGCCGCCAAGGGCACGACCCCGCCGGCAGCCTGCGCCACTGCACCCTGGGGCACCCTGGGTTTCAGGGCTGGAAGTGCCTTATTTAACCCAACCACGGCATCAGGGCATCGTAGAATTAAGCATTAAACTCGCTACCAGGAAAGTATTTGTAGGAGCAAAGCTATAAAAACATTATATCGTGAGGCTTTGTCAAACTTTGTATAAATTAAGAGAATACTGGCAAGCTAGGCGTTGGGAGGAAAACCTAACACATTTCCTACTTTTTTCCAACTTTTCCTGGGTGGCCGTAATATACAATTTTGTTGCCTAATTCGGCGCATTTTAGAAATCTTCCAGTTTGTCATCTCAGCTCTCTGGTGTCTTTCTCTCCCCTGGGTCACTAGAACCATAGGACTGTTCATTGTAGCATGCTAGGGTTTTGTTTTTTAATCTGGCTTTGGACATAGCACAGGTAGGATGAATAGCACAAGATAGGTTACTGGACAAGAAAAGAAATCTGTTCGTCACAGGACAGATGTTGCATTTGCATGTATGTACATATATAGACACATATTTATGTATAAATAATAAATAACAGGTGGTCTTTGGTCTTTGCCCAGCACGGGCTTCCGAGCCAGCAACGACCAGCATCCATTTGAGGAGGCGCATCTGAGGTGACTTCCACGGGGGCGCGGCGCCCCCGGCCGGTGCGGTTTTCTCATCTCGTGCAGATAACCGAGCACTTTACAAGCGGGAGGAAGTGCGTTCAGAACACCCCGTGTTACCAGATGGTGAAATTGGAAAGTAACTGTAAATAACATGACAAAGGGAGTGTAATATATTTGTTCAGCTATAAGATTATTATTTCACAGAAGCCTTATAACTCTGCTTCATGTAAGAAAACGATTACCAAAAAACAAAGTTTTAACATGCGGCAACTGTAGTAGGTTTCAGATTAGTTCCTGTTAACAGATAGGGTAGTGTAGGCTTTACTACTGCATTTTGTACAATTAACAGCTTATTACACATAACCAAAAAAAGCATGGTTGAATTGAAACACATGTAACCCGATCCTTGTGCCTTAGGAAGTCACGCCCCCTCCTGGAGCCAGCCTGAACTGCAGCCACGGGTGCAGGTCCTTGGGTGAGAGAGCTCGCCCACTGGAAGAATTATTTTAAAAATGTTCTTCTGTGTGATTATGTCTCACTTTTTTAAACCACAGAAAAGAAACAAAAACCTGAAAGCCATATTGTCACATTTGCACACACCTGTGAAGAGCGGAAGCTGTATGGCTGCATACACACAGTCCTCCCCGCGGGCGTCCCTCCTGCTTGTAACCCCAGCACCTGCGGTGCATTTCTCGTTCTAGACTTGCATGAAACATTTCTGATGGATGTCCCGTGGGAAGGGAATGTTTGACATTTGTGTCAGCTCTCTTTGTAGTTAGGAAATAGATGCAATAAAGCAGTACTTGCTTGCCGGACGCTCTGGGCTGAGAGTGAGTCATTCCCGTGGGGAAGCATGTCTGCCGCTGCAGGGACTTGCACCTGGGAGAAGCGCTGTGTGTCGCCCAGCTGCGCTGATACGATCGTCCGCCCGGAGGTGCGTCTTGCCGATGGAGCTCTTCTCTCTCTCTTCCACGTTAGAGAAGAGCCTGTCGTGGACGTGGGCGGGCGCTGGGGCCAGGTGCTGAGAGCGCGGCGTCCGGGCCTGTGGGAGACGGAGCACTCACTTGTGCCAAATACCTCTGCTCCGAGGAATCGCCTGGGCGAGGCCCAGGCCACACACGCACCCGCGTGCCGCCTGACCCCTGTTTCAGCAGGCAGCGGAGGGTGAACTCGGCCCCTTCCCCTCCCTCCGAGAGCCGCTCCCCCTCCCACCCGAATCAGCTCCGGGGAGGGGGGCGGGGATGTTCCCAGTCCCTCCTAAGCCAAGTGTGAAACCTGGAACCGTTGGTAAATACCGCCCTGAATCGTCGGAAACAGTATTTTCGTTCAAGGCATTTCTCAGGCAGGCGTTCCTGTGTTTTTTGCTCAGAGGTTTATACAGTGGGACCGGTCCCGAGGGACCCTCATCCCAAACTCTGTATCTGTCGGGCCAGGTTTCTAGAAGGCCACCCAGGAGGGTTTGGCAGCCATTGGGAGGGAAGAGGACCCAGGTGTTCCAAAGCCCTGAGACACGGCCGTGTGACGGACTTGGAAGGCTGGGCCCCAAGGGCACCCGCAAGCCCCCGATACGGAGGGACCCGGAGCCGGAGGCCCTGCAGAGAGCGAGCGGCTGGGCTCGGAGGACGGGGCTCGTCACTGAAGGAGGCACTGGAAGCTGTCAGTTCCATAGTGAGTTTTTGTAAACCTGTTTCCCCAGAAATAAAAATATTAATCTATAAAGTGATGGATGGCTTCTGCCAAAGAGACTGGGCTCCTGTGAATACCCATTTACTTCATTTTCGTCTCCTCTAGGTTGATCTTGGGTTATAAAGAAATATATCCAGGTGCTTGTTTCCACCAGGGAGGTGATGTGTTTTGCCTTCAAACTAAGACTGCATTTTTCTGGGGAGCTGAGACACGTGTCAGCTCAACTAAAGCTGGCCGTCCCTCTGGAGTGCCGGGGGTCACTCGCCTCCCGTGGTGTCCTCGGCGACGGAGATGGTGTCGGATCCCAAGGGCAGGCACCCCCCCCCCGGGCCGGGCGCCGCATGCTGGGGGCGCGTGGCTGACTCCGCTTCACCCTCACGTCGCTCAGCCCCGAGACTCCAGCCCCTCCCGAGTCAGAGACGACGGGGTCTGAGAAAAACTCTGACAAACAGCAAGTTTCTCTCGTAGCCAAGTGCTGCCTCAGCAAAACTGTGCGCATTTGAGCACAAGACTGCCAGTCTTGAGGATGTCTCCTCATCCGAGCCAGGTCCCCAGCGCGTGGCACAGCCGTCCGCAGCCCCCACCCCGGCCTCAGGGGGGGCGCCCCACCGTGATCCACTGCTTCTGCTAACCCTGTAACGCTGCCTTGCTGTGTCCCCACCAGCGATGTCACGCGGAGGGTGTCTGTGCGGCTGTAGTTAAATGTTTCTTTAGAGCCGTGTTTTGTGTTGGCATAAACAGACCGTGTTTGGTTGGTGTGTTTGGGGAGGAGACTTGTCAGGAAAGAGGACGAGAGAAGCTGAGGGAAGGGGCCTCTTTGTGAGCGGGGTCCTTGCTTGCTCTTCTTAGAAAAATTAAGGTAAAATTCGCGAAGATGAAATAACCATTTTAAAGCAGACAGTTCAGCATTTGGCACGCTCACTGTGCTGTATGACCACCACCTCTGTCTCATCGTGAAATACTTTTGCCCCCCAGAAGCAAACCCTGCACCCCCCTCGCCGCCCCCCCGTAACCACTGTGCGTTGCGCCTCTGTGGCTCTGTGTTCTGCACGTTTTACACACGTGAAACCCACCAAGTATCACAGTTCAAGGTTTGTCCACACCATGGAATTTATCAGAAATTTGTTCCTTTTATGGCCGAATACCTTCCCCACCGTATGACAGCCCACAGTCTACCCACCCCCTCGATGTCCAGGGACACCTGGGTTGTGTCCCCACTGGTCTGCCATGAGCTGTCCTGTGCAAGTCCTCGTTCGAGTCCCCGTGTTCCAGGCTGTCCCTCCACGCAGCGCCGCTGGGGAGCACCGTAACCGTGTGTGTGACTGAGCTGCTTCTTCCCCACTGTCCGAATCATGCAACCCCGAGACAGACACGAGATCGCTAACCTAATGTGGAATCACACATGGGAAGCACATCATTTATGTAATTCCTCACGTGAGAAGAATTAAGTTAGCGACCGGACGACCCAGGGCTCCTCTGCACCAGGCAGAGAGCAGCTCTGCCCCGCTGGGCCACGCGGCTGGCTGACCCGTGCCAACAGAGCCCGGTCACGCAGCCTTTCTCTACTTCGTACGCACGAGTTAAAGCAGCGGGCAAAGAGCCGGGGCGAAGACCTTCGCTGCTGTGCGTGGTGGGCGCAGGGAGCCGGTCGGGGGGCAGAGCCACGCGGCTGCACCACCTTCGCACGGTGGCCGCTTCCACGTGTCCGTGCTGCCTGTGGCCAAACGCCTCGGCCTCCGGACAGCGGCAGCGTCGGAGCGGGGCGGCCGCCTCCTGAAAAGAGCAGAATCGCCAGAGCCCTGCTGTGCCCGGCAGCTGCTCGTCTTTTTCCCAAAAAGAAGGAGGAAAAGTACTGATGACGAGACTGTTTCGGAGGGAAGTGTGAGTCACGGACGGGAAGAGGGGACGGCTGTCCTCCGCCCCTCCTGAGGTTCCCGCTGCGTCCGGGCCTGGGTGCAGACCCGTCCCCACGGCCGGTTACCCAGCCGTTCTCGCTGCAAAGTCTGCCCCTGTCCACACGCCCCTGCCCACTCGCCGCCTCCGGATTCGGTCCGAAGGGCCTGCCAGCTCCAAGGCCTCCCTCCTCCGCTCCCGCCGTTGCGCCTGGTCCTGCTCGGTGAACGCCTTCCTTCCCCGTCGGCTACGCTGCTGTCACGTTGCTTTAAAGAGTGAGTCGTCTGTAAGAGGAGTAAACGAGGCCCCACATTGCCCCCGTGCAGCTCGTCCCCGCGCCGGCCAGCACCACAGGCAGGGGTCAGGCCCTCTTGCCGCACCTTTCGCCATGCAGGTCTGGCAGCGGGAGTTATTGCAGCTTCTGCGTGTGTGAAAATGCTTTTATTTTATGTTTTTTAACTTTTATTTTAAAATAATCACAGATTCGCTACAAGTTGCCAAAAAAATATATACACAGAGGCCCCAGTGAACCTTTGCTTTTCCCCACACACAGGAAATGGACCCTGGTGCAACTTACAAATGTCATTCGGGTTCCATGAATTTGACTTGCACATACATGTGGACACGCGTGTGTGGTTCCGCACAGTGACCACGGTGGGGATCCACGTGTCCAGCACGAGCACGGAGGCAGAGGTGCTCCGTCAGGCTGCCCGGGCACGCACGGCCCCGCCCCACACCCGGGGCCCCACGGCGGCAGTGTGGTCGTTCCCCACCAGCGACTCGCACGGCCGGGGCCCACAGCGAGTGCCACCACGGGTCACGGTGTGGGGGGTGCACCGCAGCTCATTCCGGCCGTAGCTCGGCTGGGCCCGCAGTAACCCTGGACTTCAGTCTGTGGAGCCCTTCACCCCCTGAAGGACACCTGGGGTCCCCAGGTTCTTTTCTTTGTTTTGCTGCAAAAAGCTCTATTGTTTCTCCTTGGTCCTGGCCTGGGAGAGGCTTCAGACTGGTTGAAAGGCTGCCCAGTGGCTGCGGGGAGAGGCTCTGCAGGAGCCAGGCCCCAGGGGCTGCACGGGGCCCCCGGAAGGCCTCTGCGCTCCACAGGCTCTTGGTCGTGCTTAAGGGGGAGCCTTTCCAGGACACACCTGCCCAGCCTGGCCGGGGCTGCCAGCCCGGGAGCCAAGCCAGGTGTCGCCCATCTTCACCTGCTCACCCAGGAAGCAGCTCTCCAGGAAGTCGCGGAGCTGAGGGGCCGGGCAGGCAGAACCAGGGGTTGCAGGTCCACAGGGCAGGTTCTTATCCAGGACCAGGCGGGCTCCCTGCTGTTCTGAGAGTCACTCCCTCCTCTTGAGGCCGCTCCCACACACCCTGGGAGAGAACCCAGCCACGTGCGCTGGTTTTGCAGCTTTCAGAGACGCTCGGTGCCCTCGCTCTCCTTCTCGGCCACCTCGTGGAAGAAGCGGCCCAGGCTCCGCAGAGCCCCCGCATCCCGGTCACCGAAGGAGAAGCCCAGAGCAGGTGGGTGTGGGAGCCTGCGGGTGCAGGTTGGCCAGGCGGCCCACGGCCTGCACCGGGGCGGAGTGGTTCCGACGAATCTGGGAGCTCACGCTTGCTCGGCAGTGAGCAGTTATGGTCCAAAAACGGTGTCAGCTGGTCCTGGAGGCCACAGGTGGCCAGGGGTTCTGAGGTGGCAGCTGGAGGAAGGTCGGAGGCTGGAAGAGGGGGCATCCCTGGGCCGGTGCCGCCCAAACCTCATCGAAGCAGGGAACAGATTGGGGGACCACCGAGGGCACAGTCTCCCCAAGGCTTTTTGGCTGCAGTGACCATTGTGCTCATCAGTTGTCCTTTTGCATTTCGGCGAACGTAAGTGTCCGTTTTTCTGTGACCGAGGCCAGGAAGGCGCTGCTGGGTCGTGTGGTAAATGAATTTGTTTCCTGAAATGCCCACCTCTTCTCGAGTTGCTCCGCCATGTTACGCTTTTGCCAACCATGCGTGAACGGCCACTTTTTCCCTTCAGCTGTTCTGATAGGTGCGTAGTGGTGTTTTATTGCGGTTTATGTCCCTTGCCGGCCACAGTGCTGGACATTCCCGCGTGTGAAAGTCTCTTCCTGTCTTTACCCCTTTTCCAACGGATTGTTTTGTCTTGTCTTTTTGTTTTTCATCAGCTTTCAAATACATTTTATGGGTTATGCCATTACAGTTGTCCCATTTCCCCCCTTCACTCCCCTCCACCCTG